AATACCTTGAAACTTTAAAAGGTATTTTGGTCATTTTATTTTATTGAATATATTTTGTTTTATATTTTTCACTAGCGTGAGAGACGCAACATTGTGATTGGGGCAATCTTAGCCCTCCATTCAGAATGGACGGATGGATATGGGGAAGTATATAAGGTTTATGCTGCAGGTGAAGCATGGAAAGCTTGCCCTACTCTTCCAGCTTCATTTTGATACATGTAGCATGTGTTTTTTTTTATCTTTTTTTTCTATTTGGGTTTGTATTTAATATGGGAATGGGTTGGGTCCAGATTTGACCTAGACCCAGATCCAACCTTGATCGGGGTTGGATTCAAGTCAATTCGACCTGGACCCAACCCACCAAGTTGGTTTTGTTCCAAGACTAGAAATAAAAAAAAATATCATAAAATGTATGATATATTTTAGAATATATTTACAGTACTTTACACATATAAATACCAAGTCGAACGAGTGGGGTTGACTCCTACCCAAACCCGACTCGGTAGGATCCTCATTGGACCCATGCCTAAACCCGACCTGTCAGGTCCATTGTTTGGGTCCAGATCCGGACCAGGTTGGGTTAACTTGTCGGTTCCAAGGGTTGACCCACCCCTAGTTGTACAATGCTTGAACAAAGTTTTTCTTGGCAGTATATTGGCAACTCACAGACCGCCCAGTGCTCACAAGGGATGGTTCGGTCGTGTTATTCCTCCAAGTTTATCAATGAAGACGCACCCTAATCGTCCCTTCCTTTCTTTGATGCAACACACCCAAATCGCCCCTTGTTAACATGTCACAATTAAACGGTGATGCCATCGAACTGTTGGAAAATCAAGCACCACAAAGAGAGTAGTTTTTGAAATTTGAGGAAATTTATCAACCATGTAAACCATTTAACACTTACCCTATTTATCCAAGGAAAAAATTTCATATAAAGTTGCAACATTAAAATGTACAATTAAAGATGCACCTCAAAAATCTATTGGAAAATGTTGTTTTAATGTTGAAAAACCCTCTAATTGATCATCTTGACATCGAGATGTATAAATATGGAAAAAAAAAAAACAGATATTGAGTACCAGAAATAGTGTATATTGCAAAACATTATTTAGACCATCCATTTTCAAGATTTTCACATGTTTATAGATCTATTTAATTTTAACGATTTTTGGAGTTTGAAATTTTATAGTCAGATATGAGAATAGATTTTCAAATAATTCTAATAATTTTTTACACCAAAATTACATGTTATGATAAAATTTGGAGGCGCGTCTTAATTTGATTGTTTAAGGTTGCAACCTTATGGAAACATCAAAACATATGCAATATATCAAATATTCTAACTCTTGATTGTTTAAGGTTGCAACCTTATAGAAACATCAAAACATATACAAGATATCAAATATTCTAACTCTTTATTATTTTCTACACTATTTAGAATTAAAACAAATGAAATAAAGCGAGATATTAAATGGTTCATCAAACCGACTTCAATTAGTTGAAAAAAAGCTTTGACGATGATTAGATAATTCATCACGTGGTACTTATAGATAAATTTGAGTGGACTTTTTTAAGGTGCATATGATTTCATATTATGAGTTATCATTCCTTAAAGCAACCTCTTCTTAAAAAAACCGAGGGAATATAAAGAACATTTCTGAATGAATCCTTTGCTTTATATCAAGGATGTTGATGACTTTTGTTCAACAATTTAATTGAATATTTTCCCAAGGGGATTCGTTTTCTCAAATAACATATTATATAAATAGCATTTATAGATCACACCAAGGTTCAAAATGGAAATGTTGAAACGGAATTGCCCGAGTCAAATCGGGACCAGTAGCCACTGGTTTTTGTCGGAATTGCTTGAGTCAATCCGGGACCAATAACCCTGGTTTTTGTCCCTTCCAGAATCCGGACTCAGACCTAGTGGTGTATAAATAATATAAGAAAATTTTTATTTATCAAACTGAGGTCTTTGGGAAGGTTTGAGGTTCCTGAACGCTATTTAGACATTTTAAACTCATTAAGATTTGTATACATTTTGTTTTATTTTTCATTTTTTTAGCACACAACACTTTGTTAGGGATTGTATACTGTGAGACCAATTCCTTTTTGGCACAAGTGGATCACAATCATTCGTGGCCATTGGATATGATTTTTAATAGATTAAAGTGTGTACTAACATTAAAAAAAAATTAATTTAAATATCGTGTCTAGTCAATGGCATACTCAAATTGACATTTAATGGTAAGTAATAGCTATGATCTCTCTGTGCCAAAAATAAATGATCTTATTATAAACATTTATATTTGCTTGTGTCTATTCAACCATCCAGTGCCACAAAGGACGGTTGAGGGATCTTCATCCCTATATAATTATCATGTGTTGTGAGTCGACGGTCGATATGTCCTCATCCTCCTTCCAATTGTTTGAAATCGGTCAAAGGATATGCAGAAAATTGTTATAACCTAGCAAATCAGTATTAAATGCATTTCCACTTCTTACAATTTTATATTCCATTATAAGAGATTTATCTAGGGAACTTGTGGCTTAAATTTAGGGCAACTCTCAAACATGTTATCTCTATATTAGTTTTTTTTAGACAAATATGTGTCACTAAGATAATCAAACCTCCAGCTACATAGATAAGTCCGCATGATTTCATTGCAGATATTAGTCACCAAGTTCTTGTTCTCTTTTTTTATTTTTTATTTTTTATTTTTTCTTTAATTTTTTTCCCTTTTATTTTAAGGGTAAGGCAATAAAGAGATAGCCAGATAAGTTAGTATTAGTGTCTTAAAACTTGGACCGAGCCGGCTCACCAATTCCTTGGGGTTTTATTAAAAAAAAAAGAAAAAAACAAAAACTCTAAAAACTTGTGTAGGTGGGAAAGGTACAACATTTAGGGTTTTAACCCCTCATTGGTTCCTACCAATTCTTAGCCGACTCAGCAATTTTTGGAGCATCGACCACCGAGTGCGATGAACATTTTTTATGCATGAATGCGAGAGACATTTTATATTCATCACTTCAAATAATATCTTATAGAAAAGTATAGAATGAAACCAAGGTAGTCACATCAATTATTCCATCAAGTAAACTCAAACTTCAAAATAAATTTTTTCAAACTTTGTAACAAATCCATGCTATCAAATTTCACGATGGTTGTAAGTAATTTCGCTTATTTTGTATCAAAGGTAAATGATATTATTGTATACAATCCCATATCTTATATATATAAGACAAGGTTTATATAAGGATGAGGCGTTAAAAAATCAAATTAAAGCGCACCTCAAAAATTCGCTAGAAGAGGTTGTTTCGATGCCTAAAAATCCTCAAATCGATCATCTCGACCTCGAGATCTACAAACACCATAAACAAATGATTTCAAGAATTGGAAATAGCGCATCATGAGTTTCAAGATTTCCAACTGTTAATAGTTCTACTCGATCTACACTATTTTTTAAATTTTAAATTTTATAACTAGATATCAAAATAAAATTTCAGGCCACTACAAAGATTTTTAGTACTAAAACAAAATATTTTGACACTATTTAAAGTTGCGGCCTTACTTTTACAGTTTAGGACCTCAGCCATATACAAACCACATCCTTATACAAAACAACATAAATTAGTCACCACGTTCTCTCTTATTGAGTTGAAAGAGAAAGGTGCAAGCGATAAGGAAACTGACTTGGCAAAATCCACTTCTCCAACACCAATTTGCCATATATCCTTCCAACTCATCGTTCAAGCGCATATACACATCTGGGTCCCCATTAAATATCCTATCTGTCATTTAAACCTTCAACCAACACTACCACTTAGCCTTTATGGTTTGCAATCACCCTAAATACAAATAGAAAATTAACTCAAAACCCCACCTAGGTTCCAAAATAATGACCATAAAAAAGTGTCCCTTTAGATAGAAAAAGTTGGGGAGACTCGACAATAGAAGCGGTGAGAAGACATATGGTTTTAGTGCTGACAATGGTCGAGTTAGAAAAATATTCAAAAAATAAAAGTAGTAAAAAAAAAATGAAGGTTGGATTGGGCAGAGCCGAGCTGGATCGACCCTGATGGACCAGCCCTAACTTGACGCGTAGGCCACATCTTGTAGTGCAAACTTAGGTATTTTTAAAGTGAAGCCGGGCCACTCAACCCATTGATGCCTCAACCAGTCCATTACCAACCTTACACAGTCGACCCAATAGTATAAAAGTAGGGGTGGCAATAGGTCGAGTATGGGTCCATGCGAACTTCATATGAACCCCGACCTGAATAATGTTATCGTTTAAATAATATGTAATTTATAATATTTTAATAATATTTAATTAAATATTATTATATATTATAGTTATAATATTTAAACAAAAAAAAAAATTATATAAGGTTAATCTTAAAATACAAAATGAAAATGCACCTAAAAAACCATTGTAAAAGACTGTTTTGATGTTAGAAAAACCTCTAATTGATTATCTTGACATCGAGATGTATGTATATAAAAACAATAAATATTTTCAAGTCCCAGAAATAATACACATTCTTTGGACCGTCCATTTTCAAGATTTTCATGTAATTCAAGTATAGGAAAATCATTCGACTTGAACATTATGATCGTGAAATAAATTAGTATTTGGAACTTTAAAGAATAATATATATTTTAACAAATTATCTAAACAGTCCGTTTTGTTCTAAAAATAAGTGTTAAAAAATCTACAGGATAGGTATGATTTTTTGATTTTTAAATTTATTATTAAAATAAAAAATTGATTTTAGAACCATAATGGAGATTTCTCTAATAAAAGTGCTTTCTAGACAAAGATTTGAGACGAACATTTATTTGATTTTCATGGAACCTAGGCCTTATAAAATTTCGTCTATATATTTTTTTTAGGTCGGCCGCTGCCACCCTGAATTTATTCCTACCACGTGCCCGCGAGTGAGAGGATCGATTTTGGACATGCTTCTCATATCCCGATTCCCACAGCGATGGTAGAGAGAGAAAATGGGGTGAGGACATGCCCTTGATATTCTCTGTTAGAGCGAGAAAGAATTCAAGAAATTCCATGCCCTTAAAAATCCTCAGAAATACACAGTGTTATTATCTGCCGCTCGCGCGAAGGAAACTCAAACACGAAGGTCCGGCCGAATATATCCTCGCGTCCATCAATCCCTCCTCCCCCACCAACTCCGCTCCTGCAACCAGGAGAACCTGTTCTCTCTTTCTCTCTCTACATTTGTTCCCTCTTTCTCTCTCTAGGGTTTTTCTGGTCCCCCTCCACACTTCCTTTAAATGCGAGTGCCACCACCACCACGTAGAGAAGCAAACTCCAGAGTGAGAGAGAGTTCCCTTTTCGCAGAGAAACAGATACAGTAGTGAGAAGATTTTTTTTAGAGAGAGAGAGGTGTTTCTTAGAGGGAGATGGAGAATTACTCATTGCATTTGGCGGTAGCAGCACTAGTAGGGGCGTCATTTGTGGCGGTGTCTGCGTATTATATGCACAAGAAGACCCTGGCTCAGCTCTTGGAGTTTGCGAGGCAGGTGGAGAAAGAGGCAGAGGTGGAGGCGGAGCGGCAGATGCATCATGACAATGAGGGGAAGAGGAGGCGGCATGGTCGCAAGGACATTGGTGCGTATTGCAGGGCCTCGGCTTCGTTGCCGAATGTAACGATGGCGGCCCCCAATGACAACTGCTTTGCTATTCCACCTGGTCTCCCTCGCCTCCATACTCTTCAGGAAGGTGGGTTTCTCTCTCTCTTTCGCTTGAATTTATTGGTTAGTGTTCAGGAGTGTTCTCTCTCTCTCTCTCTCTCTCTCTTACATTACTTGCAAGCTTTGTTACTGAAGTGTTTCATAATTTGTCACAAAACAAATTTCCTCCCAAATAATGCTGGGATTTGTGAATGACGCTTCTACTTTGTGCCACACTGTTCCTGCTCATATATCCCTCTTTTGCCCATTTACTTATGCTTCAACTCATCTTCATAGAGTATGATTTTTAACCTTTTTGATTTACTAGTGTTTGTTTATTGGAATGATTTTCTGGTTGGTTGTTGTCCAATATATTTTCATGTCTATCCACTAGAATGGTTCCAAGAATTTATAGCATACCTGTTGTGCACTTATCAGTAAGCATTTCCCTATGGATGTATATTTTGTACGAGATTCATTTTAGATTGGCTGTTTTGAGAATGGCGTGAGTTCAGATGAATGGGATGAATGGGTTGCAAAATGTCATTACTGACCTCTCCATTGTTGATTGGGTTGCTCTTTGAAGGTGTTTGTGAATTACTTGCCAGCTAGCTATTTGCAGGTATTGACTCATCTATGAGATGATATGAAGTTTTAATCTTCAGAGCTTTTGAAGTCCTGCTTGATATTTTTTTTGGATAATATGATATGAATTTTTATATTTTAGAGCTTTTGAAGATGGATATAGAGTTTTTCTTGACATTTTTCTTCATACTTTTGCTGATATAAGGTCTTGTTTGATATTTATTGAGCGATAATAATTTCATTCATAGAAAATTTAGAGTGAACATGTCACATTATGGAGATCATTTATTTGTTTATTTGTTTCTTCATTGATTTGATTGATAATTATTTCTCACAAAGCATTTGTGGCTGCAAAAGCTCTCAAAGATCTAGCCTTGTCTTAGTTGCACCGCTCCAACAAGAAAATCACAATCTCCATTGGTAGGGGAAAGCTTTTTTAAGTCATAAGAAAGTGCTCAGGAAATCACTTAGTTATTTGAGGTCCCTGAAAAAGTATCAAATTCTGGCTCCCACTAAGTCTGCTTCTACTTATGTTCATGTGCTGTCTGTTTGTCCTTCCAAATTGCACTTCTCCAAAATTGGGTGGCTCTCCAAGTGGACCTTCTATGAAGGGCAAAAAGCACAATCAAAAAGTGGTCTTAGCCTTGTTTGCCAGCTATATATCTTGGAGATCGGTCTTCTACTTTGACACACTGCATTTTTAGTTATTAAGGGCCCATGACTCTATGTCCAGCTTAGTGAAAAAAAAGACTGTCAATGAAGCCCTTCCCTGTCATAAAACTCCCTATATATTTAAATGGCCCTTCTCTGTCATAAAACTCCCTATATATTTAAATGGTTCAAGAACTTTTAGAAGCTTCTGTGTTGTATAATCCTTCCTTTCCAATTCATACATCATTGGATGAAAGTCTTCAAACTGTTTCTCTGTCCCTCTTAAAGTGAGGTATCCATTCTTGTTACTCGCGGCTGCAAGATAATAATTTCTAATTTGAGCTCTCTATCCTTTGGTGTAGCTTCAATTGTGGATAAGTTGTTTGAGAACCTAACTTATTTGCTCGGAGTCTTTATGAAAGTGATAAAGAACAAAATTCAAAATTATTCTTATTTTTAATTTTTGTTTGACTTTAAAGGATGTATATTTTATTTTAAATTTAAGGGTTGACTTCTAGGGTTTTTAAGCTCTTCTAGGGATTTTAGGTTTTTTTATTTTTTTTTATTTTTATGTTTTTAGGATTTTTGTAAGTTGTTTAGAAAAGTATTTAGAGGTGTTTATGGAATATTTTGTTTTATCAGGGGAAAATGTCATTATAAACTTTGTTTTAAGTTAGTGTTGTTTTACTCATTTTACTTTTGGGTTGGGGCATTATTGACATTGTAATTAAAGTATTGAATAAAAGAGAGGTGCGTGGATCCCTAGGGGGAGATTCACATGATTTTTTTAAGAGGAAAAGAAAGAAAAGCTTCAGGATTTTGAAGTCCTAGGTGGGGTTTGAGGAAGAAACCCTAAGTTTCTTTTCTTGTTTTGTGTGTTTGAGCTTTAATTATTGTTGTTTTCCTTGCATCAATTTGGTATCCAAGCTCAAGTTTTTTTTAACAACATCATCATTATCATCATCCAAGCCTCATCCCAATGATTTGGGGTCGGCTACACGAATCATGTTCCTCAATTGTTCTACAAGCTCAGGATTCACGATAAGATGTAGCGAAATTTTACTCTGGCTGCCTACCAATCAAAACTCATGATAAGATGTGGCGAAGATTTACTCTGGCTACGTACCAATCAAAACCCACTTCTTTTACCTGGGTCTGGGATGGGTTAAGGGAAAGTTTAAGGTTTTCTTCAACAAGGAGTCAAGGACAAGAATCTACAACCAAGTCTAGGATTTGCTAATTTTGGGCTACATTATGCCAAATTCAACCCTAGATCTTGCTGATTTCAGCTAGGTTATTGTTGTTTCTCTGCCTAGGATTTGTGATTTAACTGAACCCATGACAGTAAGCAGGGCCGTGGAAGGGGTGCTTTCATATTCCCATTTCATAATCCTTGAAAGAGATAATTAAAGACCTTAGAAGGCAAGTTCAAGAGCTTGCAATTCAACTCGCGGACATCATTCATCACCAAGATGGTGATCTTTCTATCCAAGAAGGTGTCTAGACCCTTTTCACCTCCTTGCTCCTCATGAAGAGCCGAGTGAAGAGGGGAGTAATAGAAGGCCAAGACACGGGGGGATATCACACTAAGGTTTTCAATTAGAAGATAGACATTTCTGATTTTTGATACTGGTTGTTATCCAAAATTAACAGGTTGTAGATTGAGATTCACCACCAATCTTCGATGCATGCTTAAATGAAGAAGGTAGCAATCCAATTTTTGATGAAGAACTTAGTGAAAACAAGGAAGGTAACAACGGGCAAGATGAATATGAAGTAGTTTTGGAAGAGGAAAGATAATCATCTCGAATCCGGTGGTCCATTCTAGGGCTGGGTCAAGTTAATTTTAGTAGGGAGTTAGTTTATGTGTAGGCTAAAGTTTATGTGATTGAACTTAGCCTACACATAAAGGTTATTCCATCGACATATAATGATTCTTTCCTTGAAGGTTTCTCAAAGGTGTTTATGGATACATCAGCTGATCACCAAGATTCAATTTCAATGCACAATAATTTTTGTTTAATTAGTGCAATAATCCACAAGTTCCAAGATCGTATTTACAATATTCAGTTTGAAGAAGGTTGCGGGACTACACAAAATTCATCTTAGCCTACTTTGAAACTCGAGGATGAGTATTCTCCAACAAGGGAAGATTGATGCAGGACAAACTTGTTCTTATTTTTAATTTTTGTTTAATTTCAAAGGATGTATGTTTTAGTTTTAATCATGCACGGGGAGGGCTACCTTCCATAGCTACCGTCCATCCCAAGCGTAGGAGACAAGGCAACAAACGTGAGCCACATTGGAGGAACAGAATAGCCTTCCAACGTTTTCAGTGGCATTAAAAAAGGGCGTTACCACTTCTAGTTGTAAAATAGCCAGATCAACGATCGATTATTTCAAGCGTAAATTGTTTTCTTACACTTACCCTTTTGAAAGCAATCAAAATCTTTACACAAAAACACTTTCCTAAAAACTCAAAATAACCCATGGCTTAATTGCCATAATACAAGATAGGAAAGTTTGGAGGAGGTGGGGCACACCACCCATGGGTGGGCCATGTCGGCCCCACTACCCATATATTGGTGGGCCCAATGAGCCCTAATGGGCCCCCAATAATTAAAATAATATTTTCAGATAATAAAATAATTTTATAAAGTCTATAAACAATTTATTTTACTCGCTGATTAAATAAATCCAAAAAATTAATGTTTCCTTACTTAAAATCATTTTTCAATAAAATAAAATACCTAGAGAGGTCTAGAAATTCATTTTAATTATCAAAAAATTAATTAAAACATATATAAGTAAATTCGATGGGAATTGGATCCATAGAGTTAGTATTACAACAAATATACTGAGGACTCCATCCTCTCTAAAGACCGTATCGCACTGCCCCTTCTCAAATTGACCCAACAGATCCCATGAACCATAACCTTTCGTAGAGGCTCATAATTGAACTATCAAAGTCAGCCAATAAAGTGTAGGAGATACGATTCTAGACCATGGATTACTGGTCCCTCCCTGAGGACAAGTCCATGCCCCATTTCAGTAGTATGTTCCATGGGTCCTTTCAATACACTCTAGTGTTGCAGGGAGTCTTCTCTTCTACACATTACATGTCTCACACCCTTATCCATAAAGGATCGCTTCCCAGACAGCTATTTAGTGTACATGTCGTGTGATGGTAAAGATGAAGCTTTGGGCCCTTGTCCTCTCAGGCCATCCATCACACACATGAGTCAAGTCCCTGTCCCTTGGCCAACTGTCCTAGGTACAACTCCGACCTCATCAAGGGATAGCCCCACTTCGGAAACCCTTATCGGTTGTGTTCATACGTGCCCAAGTCTATGGGTTTTTGGACATCACATAGAGCCATAGCCAGTCAAAGCTCAAGTGTGTCGAGGCATTAAAAATGCGTCACAGTCCAATATGGACCACACTCCCATTGGAGCCAACATTTTACTATATGTTTTTCAATACATGCTCTCATAAGGCCTTTAAATGGTCACAAAACCCCAATAGTAAAGATTGCAAATTTTGTTTAAGTTAAGATAGTTTTAGCAAGGTATCAAAAAATGCTAGATGGCCCCTAGGCGGTCAGCCAAGCGCCTAGGTGGGCGCCCAGATCCTCGGGCGCCCTGTAGTGGAAAATCATCCATTTTTAGCTATGTAGTGGAAAATCATAGCATTTTTAAAAATATTTGCTATCCTAATGTACATATATGCATATATTTGTGTCAAATTTTGTAATTTATTCTATTTCGCAACATACGTTTTACTTTGGGGGTTCAAAAATAAACCCCATAACTTTTTTATACAAACTTGGGGGTCAAAATGACCCATTCTGCCCTTTTGGGCGAATTCAAAAAGCAATTTCTGCCTGACTTCACTGGGTGCTAGGCGCCCACCCAGGTAAAAACGCCTGTTTCAGGCGCCTTTTCATGAGGCATGCGGTTTTTTGTTAAAAGACGCCTAGGCGGGAGCCTAGGCGCCGAGCGGACTATTTTTTTAAACAATGTGTTTTAGTCATTTTGCTTTTGGGTATGGGCATTATTGATTTTGTAATTGAAGTATTGAATAGAAGAGAGGTGCACGCAGATCCTTATGGGGAGATTCATGTGATTTGTTTTAGAGGAAAAGAGAGAAAAGCTCCAGGTTTTGGAAGCTCTAGTTAGGTTTTGAGGAAGAATCCCTAGGTTTCTTCTAGTTGTTGCATGTGTTTGAGCTTGAGTTATTGTTGTTTTTTGTTCTCTTTCAATTTTCCTACATGAGAAACGTACTTCCATATCTGACCACCATATGAATGGTGTCTTTGAACTCTGAAACTGTAAAGGGATCGAACTCTAGTGCACAAAACAACTATTAAATCTCTTGAACCTACTATTCCAAAATTCACCAATCTTTAGCAATTTATGTTACAACTAAGGCAACTCAAGAAGCCTTCTCTCTTCAACCTACCATTCCAAAATTTACTGATCTTTGCTAGGCTGCCATCTCAATAATCCAGCCTACTTGTATCTCTAAGACAATACACCTCCTGCCATTGGACTAGTGGAGATATTTCTTGACCAACTCCCCACAATAGAATACCCGCTCAAAATTATTGAATCGACTGTTTGTATTCATATTTTAGAAAGGGAGAAGTGAATTATGAGATTAGCTAAGGTAGCCTTAACGAGTGTGTTTCGACTGTCAAAAGGAAAATCGTAGCTTTCCTTCCTTCCAACCTCGTCATTCGGTCTGAGTCAGTTAGTCAACGTCGTTTACTGGATACTCACACAAAGGGTAGACCTCGCTGTGAAGTGGGGATGACATAAATCTGTTTGCCAATAGACAAAACCACCTCTTCCAATCAAAACCTTGGCAATTTTGTTGTCCACAAGCACTATCATCATCATCTGAGCCTTTTCCCAACTATTTCCTTTTCTGCCATTCTGCTCTTTCAACAGCCATACCTTGGGTTAGACCAAAGTCGCCATATCTTTTCTCAGTACTTCCTTCTATGTCCTTTGGGGACTTCCCCTTGCCCTTTTAGAGCCTTCCACTTGAACCAAATCATCCCCTCTAACCAATGTTGTTCGTCTAGATGTGTGTACATAACATAAATAAATAATGCTCAAGTTTCTACATATCATATGCTCTCTCGAGTCAATCTTTTGTACATACTGCCTAGGACCTTGGAATTTTATCTCAAATCAGTTAATTAGTTGGCAAGAAGCAAAAGATTGAGAATCTGATGGCCCTAGTGAAACCCTCTTGACAGAAAGTGATGATTGAGCCTGCAAGTTCTTTTGATTTTCAAACTGACGGGATAGTTATCATCTGTGAACATGAACACTCCTCCTTAAGATTAATATGCTTGAAACTTCTTCATCAGAATTTTTTTTTTGAAAGAATCCCTGATGTCGTTTTGGACATTCAATAGGATGAAGATTTCATGCTTAATGAAAGTTTGCTGATTTTCAAGATTCCAGAATATTTTTAGATAATTTACTCTTGAAGTAAGGTTTGTTCACATGCAAATGATGGTGTACTTTGCATAAGATGAATGTCAGTTATGCTGCTCTAATGAAATGCCACAGCCCTTCTGCATAAAGGCTTAGCATGTGGGTTTCTATTCAATGATAGGATATGCTTATATCCTATCCTTATATTTGTTGCACTTTACCATTTGATAATATCTTGACATTGTTGGCAATATCTATTTTACCCCTTTGTACATTTTCAAGAAGTTTTCTTCTTCTTTCAAAAGTATCTATTTTAAGGGATATATTCATGAACAACCTTTTTTTGGTGGATTTGAAAAGACATTGGCTTCATTGTCAGAGCTTTCTGCCCAGTTCGCAGTTTATTAAGGGAGTGGCTCTATTGTTTTTTCCCTATTGAAAGGATTTTACTTGTTAGCTATACTAACTTAAATGTTCAAAGTTCAAACTGGTAGGAAAATAGTAAAATAGGGAAATTTTGAGACATGAAAGAAACTGCTAAAAAAATAGGAAAATGTTTGATGTGAAAGACTTGATCTGAGTTAAACATGTGATAAATTTAGTTTAATACTGGGACATATGTGTATTTCTTATACATTTTAGTGAAACTTTTAAGTTTGAGTGCCTGCCTTACTCATAAGGATGATCTGCTTATTTCATGCAAAAGTTCCTGGTTGTGTGAATGATAATGATACATTGTCATGTCTTATGACCTTTTTGTGGATAAGGGAACAAATTTGCTTCTTGATTCATTATATTATGTTGTTGACTTTTTAGTAGTTACGCTATAAAGTTGACCCAACTCCGGCGCATATTGAGTTGTTTTCACTGTTTTCAGGTAATTGGCAACCAGGTAGTCGCCCAGGTTCAACTAAAAGATCTACATCTGTTATTAGACTGGCATCCCCTAAATCACCTGTGGCTAGTGCTAGCGCTTTTGAGAGTGTTGAGGGATCTGATGAAGATGAAGATTTGCCTAATGGTGTTAGACCTGAAAACACGTATCTGCATGCAAATGGAAATGCTGTAAGATTACTTCTTTTATTTCCTTCCTTTTTGCAGCTTGTGAAATTGTTGTTATTATTCTCATTATTTTGACATTATAGATTCCAAGAACTGTATTCAACATCCTGCTTGGAACCTTCTCCCCAACATCCTTATCTTTAGGGAGGCTAATTATGAGGCAGACAATATGTCTAGCATTAGAGTTTTCTTGTCCTGTCCTGTAACCAAATATTCTAGATGGGATAGGGTGCAGGTTACTAATTGTAGTAAGAAAAAATAAGTAAAGGTTATAAACTTGTCCAAAAATATGCAATGGATGGATCAAAAAAGAAGTGTAACTTATTCATTATACTTGAATTATGGTTCATGTGACTACAACAGTATTGAGCTTAACTGCAGGGGTGGCAAAACTGCAGCCTTCTTTTCCTATGATTGCTCCATATGTTGTTCTTGCTGATTTTGATATCTTATAATGTATATTTGCTCACTATCGTTTTTTGGTCATATGAGGAGGTTGACTGTGCTAGTCATGGAACCGTTTATTACATTAAATGGCTCTGGGTCTTATTTACATGGTCTCATCAGATAACTGAAATTGTTTTGCATATAGTTGCATATTTACCTACCATGCTCTGCACGTTTTGTGGTTCCTGACAATGGATAGAGTGGACTTTGACCTTGCAATTGAACTGTTATGAACAGGGGCCAGAGACTAAAAGCCTATATCAAAATGTACCTGATCTAGCTAATGCCAAAGGAGACCAAAAGGCTGTGACTGCAGCTAACATGATCCGTTCTCATAGTGTATCTGGTGACCTGCATGGTGTTCAGCCCGATCCTGTAGCAGCCGATATTTTGAGGAAAGAACCTGAACAGGAGACTTTTGTGAGATTAAAAATCTCACCAACTGGTAAGAGAACTGTCAATTTCTTTTTACTATTTTATGTATTACTTATGATTTATAACACTAGAGTATGTAATTTTGTGTTGTTGTGGATATAAATCTGGCTTGTTTGTGGTCCTTTCTTGTACTCTGCGGAACAACAGTTGCATTGGAATACAACATGCAATAAATATAACAAAAATGAACAGTTCCAATGTGGGTTATATTATAAAGCAGCTGAGACAAGAGGGAAATGACCAAGAACTTGACATTCAAATGTAACGTATGAACTTTTATCTGTAGAAAGTGAATAGAATACTTATCTTTTGTTTGCTGTTATATATATATATATATATATATATATATATATATATATATACTATCTATACTATACTAACGTACCTTTACC